CTCCCTGTACACGCTGTCTTTCATGGGGCCAACCCACCTCCATCGCAGGGATCCCCACGTACCCAGATGGGCCCAGACCGCTCGGTGCTGGACTCAACTTCGGCAAAACCACACCCAAGCCAGCATTTGGGCAGCCTGGTTCTGAAACAACCCTGAACTGCTGACGAAGGATGAGCCAGCCTTTAGAGCACAGGCCTGGGATTTAGCAAACACTTGTTCAACTCCTGACTCGCCTTGTTTGAGCTTCCGCAAGCCAGGAATGCCTGAGAAGGAACTACAGCCATCCCCTGCTCGGCTTCAGAAGAGGTGGATTCAATGAAGCAGCACAGCTCCTGTGCACACAGGGGATGCAGCCAAGGGCTGTAACAGATGTGTTTTAACCCATGCCACTGAGCTATTTGGGATCTGCCTCCGATTGCTCCAGTGCTCATTCACGTGTCTTCCTGACGGAAGACCAACAATAACAATTAGTATCATATAAGGAGCAGCGGATTGCTGCCAGCATTCGCACACTCTTGAGCACCAAGGGTTTCCATTCCATTTTTTTATCCCTGCTATGCATAAGGCAGGGGTCAGTCAACATTAATCAGCCTTGTTCTGGGCCAGCTCCTTTAACGTGTTCAGCTTGCTGAGCCGCGATCGCTGCCTCCCTGTGCTACGATGGGTTTCCCCCCACTCAATGCCTTTGCCTCTTTCCTTAAGGCCACCAAAATAAAGTATGTTCACTGTTCACCAGCACGTGATGACAGAGGCTAAGCCTGGCCATGCTGGCGGTGGCCTCCAGACCCTACCAGGGGATGACGCTGGTCAGGAAGGTCTTGGTGGGTCTTGGCTGCAGATGGAAGCCTTGTGTTGCCATGCTGAGGTCTAACTGAATCCCCTTCCATCCCACGGCAGTGCCCAATCTTCATCTTCTAAGAAGGGGTTTCCATCTTTCCAACGCTCCTGCAATGTGCTCTCCCAGAGCCTTCGGGCTGGTTCAGGATCACCCAGGGGAAGCCCTGTCTGAGCCAGCAAAGGGAATGTAAATTCAAGGCTCCTTCTCAGCACATGAACACACTCCAAGGAAAGGCTCTGGAAGGGATCCTGATGACTTCCATATTATTTCCAGTAAATTTAGTGCTGATTCTTGGCACAAACACCGGAAATGAATAGGCTGGGTCAGGAATGTAAATAAAGTGAAACATTGGGATTTAATCTAATCTATAATTATAGTATCTGTGGCGCAGAGAAGTTGGTGTATTTGCACTGCAGCTCCATTGAGGAGCTGGAGGGGGTTTTCACTTCCCTTTCCAAAATTTCCCTTTTTGGCTGAGGGATACTTGGTGTCTCCCCAAGTATCCAAAATGAACGTGCTGGGCTGGCAAAGTTGCTTTCCAGCAGCCAGTCAGGTACAGCTCAGTGAACAGGCATCACCAGGCACTTGGGGAATGACAGGGTGAGAAGCAAAGATGGATGAACAAGGGAGGTGGATGAGCTGGGCTGAAGGCTCAGGGAGGCTACGGGATGCACAGGGGAAGCTCCTCTCTCCACAGCAAAGAGCTCAGTTGGGTTTATAGGGTGCTGAGCTATATAAGGGCCATAAGCAATGTAAGTTTGGTCCTCTGGGGTGAGTTTGACCTCCAAGAGAAGCCAGAGTGCTTTATCTTGACTGGTGTTTGGTGCTTGGTGCATCACCAGGTGCCCATCACAGCATGGTGCTCCCAAGATCCCAAACCATCAGTCTGATTGGCATGAACCGCTGTCGGGACTGACTGGTCCATGCAAGATGAGCACTTAACAGACATGTAGACATCTCTCCCTCCACCTTCCTCACCCCATCCTCTTCCAGATCCACCAGGGAAGAAGCTTGACAGACCGCTGTGGTCCAGCTGACCTCAGGGGACAACAACCCCCTCTCCTGTGATGCATTTTGCCAGAATTATAAGACTTTTGTCTTTGAAGAGCTTAAAACAAACTTGACAGTCTTCAAGGACCATCCTCAGCGTCCCTGTGTGTGTGCACGTGAGCACATTCACGTGACTGGAACACGGACCCCACACATGGGCACCCACATCTGACAGACCATCAGGAGTGTCCACACGTGTGCACGGGCGTATAGAGCACGTGCATTGCTGCTGACATGAAATACTTTCCCTCTGCAAACCCTCTGTGCAGGGACTAACATCCCAACCCCGATGTACTACAGGCAGGGGAACGAAAAGGGCTGACAGGGAACATATTTTCTTCAGGCTGAAATCGCAAAGGACAAAGAAATTAGTTCTCCTTTTGTTAGTTTATGTTTTGAAATTACAGAAGTCTCTAAAGCAGAGGAATCAATCAGACTGTGTTTATTTGTTTGCTTGTAGAACATTTTTTGGTTTTGTTTTTCATGCTCAAGCCCAGCTTTGATCTCAGGCTGGTAATCCTCCAAACGAATGGTCAACAGCAGAGTGTAATTGCCATAGGTACTACAGAAGAAAAAGGACAGGATGTCTGACACATTTACAGAGCAGAAGAGACTTCCACGGTCTCACAGTCCCCTCTCTCGGTGTATGTGATACCCTTAGACTACTGAACATGCAAAAACATTTGCTTTTGAAAAGCTCTGGTGCTGCAGACTCTGCGTGCTCACCTAATAGCCTAGAGAAAAGCACAGGTCCCTGCCGAGTTGCTATAATCAGCATTATACCCAGGCCAGAGCCTTCCAAGGTAGGTATTTTTCCACAGAAACAAATGAAACAAGCAGAAGAAATGACCCCATGCCCGTGTTTCTGTTGTTGTTGCATCTGTGAGGGCTCAGAACAGAGTGTTACCCTCCCATTTCACTGTTCTGGCTTTCTTCAGGCTGTGTCGCAACTGTATGGACATCTGAGCAAGAGGAATATTTAATGTGTGTGCCCTACGTATCTGAGAGTGCCCAGATGCTGAGTAAACACTGGTGAGGTCCCAATTTGGAGCAAATGTGTGTGTGTGTGTGCTGGATTCGCGTGCACCCACGGCTGAGCATCCCTCCAGGCAGGTGTGCTGGGACAGGCAGCAGGAGATGCCGAGGAGGATGTGCACGTGTGTGTGTGTGTGTGTGCACGACTTCTGGATGACCAGGAGTGTGAGTCCATGCCCCACGGATGCCAAGATGAACGTGTGTCCGTCCATGTGAGCTTAAGTGTGCGCAGCCTCGGGAACGGCGTGCCAAGCCCTGCTGAACATGAGCTGCAGGTCGGAGCCAACACTGTGCGTCACCCCAGGGCCTGTCCCCGCAGAGGGACGAGGTCCAAAGCTCCTCGTTGCCAGGGGACTGATGCCTGCTGGCTGCCTGCAGCCAGGGCTCCCCACAAAGAGCTACTGTCCCTCACCCAGGGGCACCCACAGGGAGCGGGAGCTGCCCACAGCCACCCCCAGGCCATGGGGCATCACCGACCTCTGCTTACCCCCCTCCACAGCAATGTGCCTCACAGCCGTCAAGCAGAAGGCTGGCTTTGACCAAAGGGATGACAAAACCCTGGACAAAGCCTTCCGCCTTCCACCCAAGGCTCTCCCAGCCCTTTGCAGACATCAGGAATTAGATCACGGAGCCCCTAAAGCAACGGGTGAGTGCAATTATCCCTACCCAGCAGATGGAGAAGATGATTTGGCAGCCCAGGCTGCCCAAGAGCCAGACCTTCTGGCTCCCAGCTCCGTGTGTTCACCTCGGCAGCAGCCTCCCCATCAAACCCAGCGGCTCTTCCCTCTCCCAGTGCCCCTGGCAGCCCTAAGCCCAACGGCTGAGAGCTCACCACCGGCCGCTTTTATGGGCGGCGGGTTATTAGCAAGCTCTGCGGTTGCTCCAGCCTCTCCCTGGCACCTTGTCAGAGCAGCCCAGTTCCCAGAGATATTCATAATTATATTAATGTGTTACATACACTTCGCAGGAAAACATTTGAAATTATTAAATGGCAAGAGGTATCACTTGGAACCCGCTCCTGGACATGGCCCCGCTCAAGAGATGCGCAATAAAGGCTTCTCCTTCTTCGGAGGCTGTCAACATACTTAACTGGGGGGGGCGGAGGAGGAGGCAAAGGGAAAGTATTAATCAAGATCTTTAAAAGTTCTCGCTGACAGACCATTTGCCAGCTCTTGCTTTAAATGCTTTTGTGGTCCCATAAAAAGTTTCATTACTCACTACAAAATGTGTTTTAATTATTACAGTCACTCTGACATTAAGCCCTGGGTGTTTCTCTCTTGCTTACTCTGTCTCTCCTCCGCCTCTTTGCCTTTTTCTTCTCTTTTTTTTCTCTCTTACTCTCCTGACTGCTGCTATCCTGCCCAGGACAGAGGATGCCTTGGCTCACAAGCCAGGTTGGAAAGCCCAGTCCCCCTCCAAATGATAGTGAGGTTGAAAAGCCCAGACGCTCTCCAAACGATAATGAAGAAGCTGTTAATATTCAGATGTTGAAATGATCCCTTTGTTTAGGACACTAATTCAAACAGAGAATCCAATCCCCTGTGCTCAAAGGATATCTCAGAAGAGTCAAGTAAGTAAACAAAGAAGATCAGTAGAGGCGTGACCAGCCGTCCCTGCAGAAGAGGCAGATGGATTTGGTGTCTCTGATCTGCTGTACGTGTCCTACCACATAACCAGCAACCTGCATAAACAACACCTATCACACTTTTGACATCTGGCTGTTTTGGTTCACTGGGGATTTGGCAACATGCCTCAATCTGACCTCATTAGCCCAGTTCACCCATGAGAGACAACCCTATCCCACCAGGCATAAGCCTCAAAGCCCAGCACTGAGAAAATGTGAATTATTCCAGTGGAGTCTCCCAGACTCCCAGTGCCTCCCATGCCACACCATGCCAGCAGACACTGGTTTTCTATTTCACCAGCTGAGCCTAACACTCAAAGCAACAGAAAGAGTCTCATCATCTGTCCATGTCTGGTGGAACATGGTGCTACCGAAAAAGGAAAAATAACAATTAAATAATAGCATTGGAGATCCCCTCTTGTCCCCAGTACCTCCCCACACGTCTCTCCTTACTTGTACAGACCATCTGGTTCCAGGCACTTGAAAATGACTGAGTAGAGGCTGGTTTCAGGGACATCTCCGTGGCTCCTACCCGCTGCCACACAGGATGTTGCAAGGCCAGAAAGCAAATCATCCGCAAAGCTCAAGGATTCTCCTGGAGAGCAAAGAGATAAGCAAGACCAAAACGTCAACGCAGGTGCAAAATTATTGCTGACCATTTTAAAAAACACCGTAGGAGCACCTCTACATGGGACAGACAATCAACAAACTCTAGCTGGAAAGGCCCCAAGTCTCTATGTAGAATATCACCTGTGGAAAAAGCAAAAAAGTAGAAAACACACCTGGGCCATCAGCTGAAACAGGGACCCACTGCAGAGACCAGGGGCAGCGCTAAGACATCTCTCGGGCAGTGGAAGGATGCACTCCCAGAGCCTACAGTGGGGACCCACTGCAAACATCACATGAGGGACCACCATCCAAGGATGTGGTCCAGGTCCCCAGATGAGCTGGAAGCCTGGCAAAATAGGGCTCTCCTGCCCTAATTGGACTTCAATTCATAAAGGGGACACCACCTTTTTGGAAAACCAGCTGCCACAGTGAAATGTGTTTCTGCTATATTAGATTATCAGGAAAGGAGGCATTTTTAGACCTTGGATGGAATTGCTCTCAATGTGCTGGGTTGGGTTTTTGTGTGTGTGTGTGGTTTTTTTTATTTTATTCAATGAAAACCAGTAGCTTTGCATTCCCTTTCATGCACACTCTGCTGGTTCCTGGAGCTCTGACTGGAGCTCCTTCAGCTGTACTGAAGAACACTCACCCCTTTACAAGCCTTCGAGGGAAAAAAAATACTAATTAAAAATGTTGAAAAAAATTTTTTTTTGTCTTCCAGTTTATAAATTTTTTTTTTTTTTTGTCTTCTGGTTTATAAAGCTTATTAAGCACTTAGATCACGACCCAGCTGAAACTGAAAACGCTCCATTTATTAAGCTTTTTGGGCCTGATTATCCGCTGCCGTGCAACCTGTCTCCTTGCAGCGGGCAGGCTGTCCATCAGTTAGAGCTCATTGCATTCAGTTCCCATTTTGCATCGGTGTAGCTGAGAGCCCAAGGTACGAAGCAGTAAAAAAACACGGGAGCAGCTGCCTCGGTTGTGCCCCCGTTCCCAGGGATGGGAATGGGAGAAAGGGCTGCTGCTGGAATTATGATGGTAGAAGCAAACCTGGACCCAGATTGCTGTGCTGGGTACCTTGTGCATGTGTAAATGTCACCACACCGCAGCGGAGGGAGGAGGAGAATTCCCTTCTCAGCGCTTTTCTGTATTTTTTCCAAAAGCAAAAGTGGCTGAGGACTACTGAAACGAAGCACAAGTCTAGATTCTTGGTACAGACCGTAAGAAATAACCCAGTGGCGTGACCAGCCCACACCATTTCTCTGTGCTGCTGGATTACCCAGGTAGAATTAAAAATCCCCTCCTCCCCAGGCCCCCCAAACCGCATTTGCGTCTTGTCTCAAAGCACACAACCCAGTAACAAATGTCCCCCTTGGCTACAGAAAAGAGCAGCAATAAATTCTTTTCCTCCCTAAAGGAATCCAAGCCTTAATTATTCATTTTAATGCTCCCAGCACGACTTGTTCTTTCCAAACTTTTTCCAGGCAGCCTTGTCACCGGTCCCTGCAGCTGAATCCAGTCCCCAGCCCTGGGTCCATACCAAACCCCAAGTCGACTCAACGGGCAGGTTGGGCTGGCAGCAGTACGAGCCCTGCTAGGAAGTCACGAGCACTGGATGGCCTTGAGCAAGCCCCTTAGCTCCGGGTTTCTGGTTTAAACAAACAAACAAAACCCTATTGCTCATTTGCAACTTTCATGTCCATCCCTTTTCATACAGCACCAAGCTGGATTGGGGAACTCCCTGTCACCAGAAGTCATTGAGAACAGACCCTGCCGTGACTTACAAACCAGATGAATCACAAACACGTAACGAAGAAGCAGGACTGGATTGTGTTGCTGAGCTACAGCGGGAGCTTTCGAGCCTCTTTCAGATCCCAAGCAACCAGCTTTTAAGCAGGAGAAAACTTCCCGGGGGGACAGATCATCCCATGGGTACCTGTTGTGGGACCTCACACCTTCCCCCAGAGCACTCAGGGCTGACAGGCAGCCGATGTGGGGTAGGAAAGAAAATAGCTGGGCAGAGAGACTGTGATGAGCAACCAGGTGAGACCAAGGGGAGATTTGCACTGGCAGTGCGTGGACACAAGGAGCATCGCTCAGGACATCTGTGCCAGGGAACACAAGAGATGGGACAGGAGAGAAAAACACAGGGCTGAGACAGGGAGTGCAGAGGGTGGAATGGGAATTGAAGGAGACTGGAAATGGGATGGAAACCGTGATGTGCACCCAGCGAATCAAAGCATGTATTACAATTGCACAGATCTCTCTCCTTAAGGCATCCACTAACTTCTGAATGCTCATCTTTCATGGTCTCTCTGGGTAGGTTTGAAGGCAGAGGAGCAGGCTGGCAGAGAGCAATGCCCCAAAACACAGTGGCAGCCACATCATGCAATGGTCTGGTTTGCCACGGAGTCCCATCAGATGTGCCAAGGTTCTGGAGTGCACTGCTGTCCCCCCACACGGGAGGAAATGAAGGTCTCAGGGTCTGTCAACCTCATGTCACCTTGGGTTTAGCCCAAACCCTCACAATAAAATCCGTACAGCAAGAGGGTGCTTTGTGTTCAATCCCGAGCCTCTGGGGAACCTTCCCCTCTGGTTGGCTCTGCTACAATCAAACAAAAGCAAAGAGGTTGTTATGAAAACAGCAAAACAGATGCTAGAGGAGGTGCCGAAACCTCAGCCCCAAGGCCGGGAGTCCTTCTGCACCTGTGTAAGCAGCAGCAAGATCGCTGGTGGTGCCCATCTGGATGGACCACGGAGCAAACTCAGGGTCGGGAAAGGGACACCCCGGGGACAAACCGACTGCCTGGAGCTGTCAATCCATGGTGAGTGCAGGGAGCCACATTCTCATACTCTCCCCAGGGTGAAGCAGAGCCCACAGCAGCTTTGTTTGTTCATCTCACACACGAGGAATCTTTCAGCCCGTGATGCTCTGAGAGCAGCTGAATTTCACTGAATTTCACTGAATTTTTAGAGTTGGAAGGGACCATAGAGATCATCTAGTCCAACTCCCCTGCTAAAGCAGGATTGCCTAGAGCTTGTCAGAGCATGTTACTCAGGAGCATCCAGGCGGGTCTTGAAAATTTCCAAAGAAGGGGACTCCACAAAGAAGGGGACTCCACAACCTCCCTGGGCAGCCTGTTCCAGCTGAAATGAAATTTCCCAAAGCCTTCCCTAGGACCAGAAACAGATTTAGACTGGGACCATCACTAGGACCAGTGAAATGCAACAACCAAGGAACAGATGCATTTGCCGGCATCGCAAGAGGATGATGGACTGTTAATGCTGCCCTACAAAGTAAAAGTGGTCTTGGGATGCTGTGACAATGCAGGAAGCTGACCTGAGTTCACAAGGCAATGGTGAGAGCCCAGAGCATAGTGTTGCTCATCTCTGCTCAGGAACAAGGCACAGGGACAGCAGAAGAGAAATCTTCACAGGGAAATAACAAAAAGCACAAGTTTACCACACAAGCAGAGACATAAAAAGGCCAAGCAGAAACACATAACTCTGTGAATACACCAACAGGGCAGGCACTCAGATGGAAAATAAATATTTAGGCTAATGGGCAGTAATGGCAAGAGAAAGTAAATTGGATATGAATAAACGGATATGAATTCCCTATTCCTGAGAAGGGCAAATAATCTAACTATCTTTTAAGAAGGAGTTTGATCACTCTATAAAAGGGATTATATGGATAAGTAGCTTGTGATGGAAAGCAAAGGGGCTTTTCTTTCCCGTCTGGACTTGTGTTCTCGCACTCCCTGCCAGCAAATATAAAGAAGGATTTCATCCTCCCAAAGCAGCCCCGAAGCACAAACCTTCTAGATTGCTGTAGTATCTTTGCTCGCATTATTAAATTTCAGAAAGAATCCAAAGGTTCTCTGCAGAGTAAATGATAGCTAAATAGATCATCTCTGTGGAGTAGGAGATATTTTATTGACCAGACAGCCATCTGTGTCCTTCATTAATAGTAATAAATAATTGATGTCACACTAAATAAAGCAATAAGCTGTTACAGATATCAAGGACAAGTGACCAGCTCCTGTGAGGATGCCTCACCTGCGTTCACTTCTCAGTAGCAAAAAATCCAGACCAGAGCTCGACATCACTACGGTAAGTGCTGTGCATGGAGCAAAAGATGGTGCCTCCTGCACAGCGATTAGAGGTGTGAGCCATCGTGCTCAGCAAAGGGATGCTGATACTCCCAGATGTACACCAAATCCCTGCAAGACTCTCTTCCCCCTCATCTCCACGCCAGTACCTTGCCAGGACTGGTCTATCCCAAACCATCCAGTTCCCCAGGCAGGTTTTGAAACTCAGTCTTTGCTGCACTAACAAGCACTGGGAAGATGCAGCTCCCTCCAGCTGGCATTTTCCTTCTCTCTCCAGCGTGACCACTCGCTACTGCCTCGTCCCCTTCCTCAGATAGGGCTGTGGAGCTTGGTTTTTTAAAAAAACATGTATCTTACACTGATTTTGGTGTTGTGGTGAGTCAGAGCTCTCCCTAAAACAGAGGAAAAGAACAGCATGCTTGGAGCTTGCAGGGGGGTTAGCCCCATCTTACAAAGCTTTGCAAACTTCTGGTCACACCAGGTCTGGTCACACCAAAGCATTTAGATCAACCCACCAGTGGTGGCTCTGGGATGGCCACCTGGGAACCCAACTTGATGTCTGGTCTGGAGGAGGAGGACACCCCCGACTCAGCTGCCTGTCTGCAAGGCTGAGCTGGCAATCTGCTCTCCAGCCAGCACATTTCTAGTGGCAGGAGGCTCGGATGGGCAGGAACAGGGACCGAGGAACGCAAACGGATGGGAGCAGGCCCAGACCGCTCGCTCACGGCATCCAACAGTCTCAGTCTGCCTCAGTCCTTCCACCGCGCCCCGTGCCAGCCCCCAGCCGCTGCGGACAGCAGGCAGGATGAATCACCTACCAACCATCCCACCAAAGACAACAAGAGTTACAGCGTTGAGCTCAACCAGACTAAAC